GTCTACACTTACCATCAAGTGAGCTGCATGCTCGTTTGCCCTTTTCTATAAAAAAAATACCGGCTGGTTATTATTTGCTGTGGCCCATATCTACATCTGTTTTCGATTCGAATCAAGATGCAAATGCGTTACCACCACTGAGGACTTCGTGCTACAACTATAATATAGCTGCAGCGTGGATCTACCACCTACTTTATGTGAGTCGTAAGAGGCAACTATGGGAAAATCTTAACAGACCTTATGACTCGTGATAGATGAAGAACAAGTTATACTTATTACAGTAAACTGCGACCTGCGGCCGTATTCATCACTAATTTTTATTTATAGTTTCGTTGTATTCTGTGTCCCCGGGTTCGAATCCCGGGTCGGGGCAAAATCAGGTTTTGGGTTTTCTGTCAAGAAATTCTCAATAGCACCCGGAGTCAAAAACTTGGCGGTGTTTCATCCCCGTGCCCGAGCCTTGGCAAGCATGTGAAATCGTTCTGTGTCTGATCTCGTTTCGGTTTTGTCAGATTGCTGTCCTATCGGTCTAGTGAGGGAATACCTGTGCTTGTGCACTCAAACACCTATATTACTATCCTGCGCAGATGGCTAGTCTCCGTTGAGTCTAGACCCTGTGACCGAAATGTGGTCCAACTATAAAAATTACCACAAAAAATTCAAGAGCATTATACAATATACAGTATTGTTTACCTATCACATTATTATGTGAAAAATGAGGTTTATTAAATTTGGCAACAGTACATATTTACTTTTGTACTAATTAAAAATTCGAATACTGTATAAAGGGATTAACCATGTTGTGGCTAAGAATATTCACTATCCTATATTATCCCGTGAATGTCGTAAGAGGCGACAGAGGGGACTGTGTCCTCGTTTGTCACCCTTATTCTATAAAAACATATGTGTTGATTTACCACGTACGAACATCGTGAGGAAACTTGTATGTAGGAAAACTAAAAAAAAAACTTATTTCGAAAACATGTGAAGCTCTCTAACATACATTGGGTCAGTACGGTGGGTACTTACTTGCCCTAAAACACTCGGAAATGAGGGGTTGCCTGTGCCCAGCATTGACACGTGTAAAGGCTGTACTTTACTTCTTTTTTTAACTTTAGATATTACTTGGTCACTGTGAGTCTCTACTGTGAGATACTACTTGCGTAGATACTTTGGCAGCCTCTCATCTCAGGGGTACATCGTTTAGAGCCGGAGCGGCATCAGACGCAGCTGAACTAAGTGGCGCAAATATGAGTCTTTCAGAGATGACTACATATTTGTGCCATTTGCTGTAGAGACTATCGGTTCATAGGGTACATGTGCGATGAAGTTCCTAAAGGAATTGTATTCGCCTGCAGCGACGATTGGACTGGTGATAAGAGGGCTTCCTTTCTCGCTCAAAGTTAAGTATAGCCATTCAGCGAGGAAACGCATCCAGCGTTTTTGGCACTATACCGTAAGGAGTAGGACTATATTATAATTAAAGTTTTTTTTTTTTTTATTATGTTCTTTTTAAATCTCTATATATAAAAATTAATTGCTGTCCGTTAGTCTCGTAAAAACTCGAAATGGCTGGACCGATTTTGATACATTTTTTGTGTACGTTTGTGTAAATCTCTGGATGATCTAAACGATTCACAATTGAAGCCAGTAGGTGGTACTGTTGTCGATATTCAGAAATCACCCGTGCGAAGCCGGGGCGGATTGCTAATATTGTATATATTTGAACGTTACATAAATAAATAGATATTATTTAAACAAAATAATCGTATTATTTTTTTACAATAAAGACTTATTTTTTAAGCACAGATTAAATAAATCTATATAATTTTATAGGTCTTATACACCTTCAAAAAATCAGCGTCGTCAAACTGTAACACATCAGTCATGAGTCATTGGGATATTATTAAACCTAATGTATCCGCCCTAAGTACCTTAAAACCTAGATGCTGGCGAGTTAGAGGGGTTAGCTCCGGCTAGGACTTATATAAAAGCGCGATAGAATGTCTCAGGAGTAGTGTTAACTGAGAACCCCTCTACGACACAGCTTGAAAATATGAAGACTATCGTAAGTGGTCATTTTTTAATTATTCTAGTTCCATAAAAAAGTATAAATTTACAAAACAAAAACTCTTTTTTTATTATTTAAATAAAAATCTTGTTAGATATTGATCAAAACAACTTTATTTCTTGCTTACTTACTTTAATAATTTTCAATTGTTTATCGTTTAAAGTTTTTGTTTTCATGTCATATTTATTACGTAAAACTATGATAGAAACATAGCGTCACGCTTGAAATCTCTAAGAGGGTGGGCAGAATCCAAACAGCAGCGAGCTACTTAAAACACGTTTTGCCAAAAATAGGGGTTTAGATGGAAAATAGTGGAAAAAGGGGTAGGGGGCGAGTACCTCGCCTGCAATATTACAATCTCCCTATCCATTTAGTTGCCTTGTACGACATGTTAGGCAAGTAACACAGTTGGCACATTAATTTTCTACCGACTTCAAAAAGGAGACGGTACTCAATTCGACTGTATGTTTTTTATGTGTGTTACCTCATAACTTTTTTCTAAGTGAACCGATATTGATGATTCTTTTTTTATTTGAAAGCTGTCTCTTCTCATGTAGTCCCATATAAATTTGATAAAGGTTTTAGCAATACTTTTTGAGTTATTCTTAATAATTTATATTAAAGTCGGTTGTACAAATTTTTTAATTTTGGATTTTCAAATTGTTGTTATATGTAGAGAAACTAATTTAACGATGTAGTTTAGATAAAAATGGGTGCAGTGCTTGTTACTTGCACAAACAAATAACGTACTGTCGTAGTATTTGATGGCATATACATTTTTAAATGACCTATTTCTAGCCCATTATACGCTTAAAAAATAAATACAATTATATAATATAAACATCATTGGAACGGTTGATTAAAGAGGTTTTAATTGATAATCTACACTCTAAAAATAATTTTAAAAAATAAGTTTAAGTTAAAATTTCACTTTTATGTCTCAATCCTTGAAATTAAAACTTAATTTTAATCATTAACGTGTAATAATCAATTAGAAAACGTCTAAAACGGACAGACTAAAATATACATGCTTTTAAGTTTTTAAAAATTATGGAATAGAACCATAAACAGCTGAATCGATATGAAAGTTTATCGAAATATATTATTTTTTTAATGACGGTTTCGTGGCACGGTGGCTTAGCATTTAACTGCAATGCTAAGTGCCGCGGGTTCGAATCCCGCACAGAACATGTATTTATATGGCCTATAAGTAACTGTTCCGGGTCGCAATGTTTGTTCTTGTGCAATATATGTTTGTAAACTGCCTTCATGATACCGGAGATAATCCTAGTGTTGGGGTGCTGTTTTCAATTAGTTTTACAAATTGTATATATTTTTTTTTAATAATCGTTTTTGTAAACAGCCATTTTTAGCAAACATCGTAGTTTAATCATAGACATTTAATATAAATTTAAAGATTTATATAAATATACAAAGTAATTATGTTTATAAGTATATAACTAAACCATGTATTTATTTCCAGGTGTGTGTGCTCCTGCTGGTCGCCGCCTCAGTTTACGGCGCAGAAGAGAAGAAGAACGAGAAGCGTGGTCTACTCGGCCTGGGTTACGGTCTTTCGTCAGCTCCGCTTATCAGCCACGGCTACTACGGTCACGGATTAGGCCTCTACAACCACGGCCTCGACTACGGAATCGGTCTGGGTGGTCATGGCCTCGGCTTGGGTCTCGGTGGTCACCAAATTGTAGCTTCCGCGCCTATTATCAGCCATAGTGTGTACAGTGCTCCAATTTTGGACCACGGTCTGTACGGAGGCAAACTGAGCTATGGGGCTCCTCTTTTGGGTCTTGGGCATGGGCATTTGGGGTGGCATTAAGATTAAGCCATTAAGCCAGCGTTAAAATATGTATGTTAGTTACATTGCTCTTTATCATACTATAAATAAGATAGCCTTGGAAAGCAGTGCCGCAATGGACTGTGATGTATGTGTTGTCATTTGTCTCACTTCTTGTATGTACTTAAAGAGTAATCGCGTGGGTCTTCTGTGCCAAATTATGTCTGTTGGTGCCTTTTGTATAAGTTTAATAAATTTGTAAAAACTACACTTTTATATTTTTTATTTTTTCTCCTAAATAACACACGAAAAATAAGGTCAACTTGCACAAAATATGGTTTTTAAGGTTCCGTACCTCAAAAGGAAAAAACGGAACCCTTATAGGATCACTTTGTTGTCCGTCTGTCTGTCTGTCTGTCAAGACCCTTTTTCTCAGGAACGCGTGGAGGTATCAAGCTGAAATTCATATCAAATACTTAAGTCTACTGTCCCTTGAAGCTGTGAAAAAATCAAACTTCTAAGCCAACTCAATCAAAAGATACAGCTGTTTACGCCGCAAATTTTAGACATTCGCAAGTGAATCAAAACCTACAGGATACTTCCCGTGAACTCAGAATCTTGAAATTTGGTACGAAGCAACGTTTTATAGCACAGATAAAAGAAAAATTGCGAAAAGCATAAATTTTTAGTAATAATTTTAAACTTATATACCTACGGTTTAGTTCGGAACCCCTGATGCGCGAGTCCGACTCTCACTTGGCCGGTTTTTTTTATCGATTTTGACACTCAAGAATTGAAACTTCTTGAAATTTTTTATAAGTGGTATATTTATTTTGCAGCTATGTCAGTATTATAGTTGTAGCACGAATGGGTCGGCTCGACCGGGGAAGGACCACGCTCTCACAGAATACCAGCGTAAAATAGCAGCTTAACGCTGCTATGTTTCGTACGGTGAGTGTAGAGAACCGGAGACGCCTTCTACTGGAAACGAGGCATTCTGTCTTAGTCCTCACGGGAGACAATGCATCTGCATTTTGACTTGTAGTTGAGGATGGATGTAGATGTCTATGGGCCACAGCAAGTACTTACCATCAGGTGGACTGTGTGCTCGTTTGTCACCCTTATCTAATAAAAAATAAATTATAACTTTTAGCGAAAAGTAAAATGCTACTTCAAATTGCAAAAAGACGTTATTTATTTGCTACCTTTAAAGGTGAAATTTTTTCGCCAAATTTATATGGAACCACCCTTGAAGTGTAACCTATTTAATAATTCTTTCTTTATTATTATCGTCCAAATTGCTTTACGATCTGCAAAGATATTGCGTAACCTACATACAAAAAAAAAACATACACTCGAATTGAGAACCTCTTCCTTTTTGAAGTTGGTTAAAAATAATCGTATGCATAAGTATGCCTAAGTATTTCAAACTTAATAAAATTTTTAATCAATTGAGTTAAAAAAATACTTTATATTAATCGGGATAAAATATTTACAATTTGATCGCCGGGAAAATTTTTGACGTTCGTTTTTTTATAGGATAAGTGTGACAAACGAGCACACAGTCCACCTGATGGTAAGTGGTTGCTGTGGCCCATAGACATCTTGACATTTATCCTCGATTACGAATCAAAATGCAGATGCGTTGTCACCCGAGAGGACTAAAATGGAATGCCTCGTTTCCAGTAAAAAGAGTCTCCGGTTCTCTACACTCACCATACGAAACACAGGAGCATTAACCTGCTGTTTTACGCTGGTATTCTGTGAGAACGTGGTCCTTCGCCGGTCGAGCCGACCCATTCGTGCTACAACTATACCTGAAATATAGCTGCAGCATGGCTCTACCACCTACAAAACATTTTTTAAGCGATACTCATTTTTCGATAATATGAGAGACATGTTATTGACTTTTTTTACTTATTATAATCCACTGCTTGACCACAATCCCACCTGGTGGTAAATTGTGAATTAGAATCAAATTCTTAATCGGTGATATTTTTATTTTGATCTTTATTTCCTGACAATAAGCAAAAGCGTGCTTACTTCGTGCTAGACAAAAATATGCATGCAGTGGAGAAAGGAATGTTAACAGCCTATTAACGTAGAAAATCCTTGTCTGAAGTGAACAAAAAAAGAACCTGTTTTAAAAACTAAATATCTAGTACTCTAATTACGTTTATTCATAATTCCAGAGTTCAGGGTGATACATAACAAACTCTCACGACTGTTACCCAAAGGGGTAGAATAGAATAGAATAGAATAATTTTTATTCAATATAGATTATAGTACATAAATACTTATTGAAAGTCATTTTTTCCTTTAACCGCTGGTTCGCAAAAAACCTATGTCCTGGGAAGTACCAGCAAAAAAGGCAGAGACTACGGATTTCCATTTGGCAAGATTCTGACACTGGACACACCTCTCTCGCTTCTTTTTCATAAATCTACAAATACGTGATCGTGGGTTAAGGGTACTCTTAACTTGGCTAGTTCTCAATATATCGTAGATTGGATCAATCACATCTTTTTGTAAACCATACTTTTTCTCACGCTTCGAGTCACAAGCACAACAGAGTCAGCCATAACATACTTCTATGGTTCGGGAAGATTTCGTCGGTGGAAAATGTAGTGTTCATTGTCTTTTTAATATTAAATTCTTAATTAACTAATTAACTCGGTAACAAAGACAACTTATTATATATTTAAATTGTCTTTGTTATATAAATGGAGGGCACTTAAGAAGTAATATTAAACTTTAAAAGAATGTAGCAACACACATTGATCATGGACTGATAATATGATCCCATTGAGAATAGGTCATAGTTATGAAACTATTGTTCTGGCAAAGGTTCTTGTTTTCATTACATATTTGAATAAAACTATTTTTACGGATTTTATTGCGTATATTAACTTATTATATATCCTCGACGTTTCGAGTACTTTAAAGGTGACTGAGGTGTTCGACGTCGTAATGTAATGGTTTAGTTTTTCATGGTAGAACCATGCTGCAGCTATATTATGGTTGTAGAACGGCTCGGCTGGGGTACGACCACGCTCTTATATAATAATGATATATAATTATATCTTATATAATAATATACACAGAATACCAGTGTAAAATAGCAGCTAAATGCTGCTGTGTTTCGTATGGTGAGTGTAGAGAACCGGAGATCCCTTTTTACTGAAAACGAGGCATTCCATATTAGCCCTCAAGGGTGAAAACGCATCTGTATTTTGATTCCTAATCGAGGATAGATGTAAATATCTATGGGCCACAACATCCACTTACCATCAGGTGGACTGTGCGCTCGTTTGTCACCCTTATTCTATAAAAAGAACCACGGGTACCTTCAGATTAAAATTATTAATTTTTGGTCCAATTCATCCAGAATGATCCGTAAATTACCCTCCCCCGAGGAATGCCACAAAATATTGTCCTGGTCACTTTCCACACGTTGTCATTCGAGAACCTACCTTTCTTCCTCATCGGTTGTCGGTTCTTAAAGCTATATGGCCGGCCCATTGCCACCTCAGCTTACTAATCCGTTGGACTAGGTCGGTTACTCTGGTTGTACTGCGGATATCCTCATCACCAAAGCTATCACGCAGGGGAACTTCTAGCAATACCCCTTTCGTAGATCACTGAGCAACCGTAAGCTTTCTTATAGGGCCAGCAGTCGTCGTGCCCCTGCTAGGCGTATGAGACCATATGGATCTGAGATGTGATGATTCCTGTGGTTGTTAAAATAAATCTTCAAATTTTCGGATTATTCGGACGTTCAGAAGTGGGTGAAAAATGAATTAAATAAAAACATTACATATATACAGGTAAAGTAATAAAATTTTAAGGCAACATTGTGATTGCAAACACAACAAATTGCAATTTTTAAATGCTTCTATGTTAAAAAGCTTAATAATGTGCTTCAAACCAAATTTTGGACACGGCGTACAACCTCAAGAGAGGCTAGCCATCGGTACGACAGGATGATAGTGCCCAAATGTATGCGCAAGTACAGGTGTAATCTTTATTCTCTTACTCTCAGTCCGAAGAGCTATGATGATGATGGCGGTTATCCTACACGACCAGAGAGAGAGTTCAGGCGCAGGACCAACGGCTTTACGTGCTTTTCGTGGCACGGATGTGAATCACCGCTTACTTCCTGACTCTGGTATGCTACCGAGAATTTTTTGACGGAAAGAACCCAACAACAGATATTTTTATGCCGACCAGGGATTCGAACCCAAGACCTCATGACCGGTAGTCGCACTTATGATCACTTACGGCCTTTAAGAAACAACAGGTTTTCAAATCTGTAAGTTTCAATTTACTAAACGAGTTCAAGAACACCATGTCGCTCGCCGATCCTGTCTAGATTAGATTAGAGGGCAGACCCTTCTGGACACTTGTACTTATTTAACCTACTTAGACTACTTTCTCATTTATTTTAGCTACATAGGATATTTACATTATATAATTAGGTGTTTGTGCCAATTTATCTAGTGGTCACCCATGAAATCGATTGTGAATTATAAATTTTTTAAGTTTGTGTATAAAGCAGGCTGTATTTCATTTTCAATTGCACATTAATATTTTATACAAAGATATCTTATAATATATAAAACTAAAAAAATAACGCATTTTTGTCTTGTTAAACACACCACAGACTATTAAAAAAAGAAATTTGGATTACACAAAATTCACAGCTTATTCGTCTTTTAGTCAATCTGTCAGTAATTATTTGTTGGAGACATTTTAAAATTTCTATTATACCAGAAGTGCCGTGGCAGCTCAGATGGTTAGTTTCACAGTACACGAGCAACCCGGGTTCGATCCCCGCCGGCACCAATTAAATTGTTAATTGCAGTTTTAAGTCCTGATTTACTACGTGCTCGGCGGTGAAGGAAAACATCGTGAGAGACATGTGAAGTTCGCGAACACGCATTGAGGCAGCACGGCGGACATTTTCTTGCCCTAAAACCCTCTCAGAAATGAGAAGCCTGTGCCCAGCAGTGAGGACGTATATAGGCTGTAACTTTAACTTT